CTCTCATACTGAGCTTTTCCTTTTTCGGCATTGAGCATACTTTTACAAGAAAGTATGTATAGAATGTCTGTGTAAATCAGGAAGATGTGGAAGGGTCTAGAGATTGATTGCAGTAAGAGAGGGAAAGATGAACTTTTTCTTTATAAATCTGTTCATTGTTTTACATGTTACTTTTGTTTTTAAAAATTTAATAAAGAAAATAAAGCTATTAAAAAGCCCAAAGCACCTCCTCTTCTTTTTCTAGCACATATCCCATCACATGCATGTAACAGTTTCCTTAACTAGTGATGCCAGTTGAGTTCTAAGTTACATTTCATTGTCTTTGCATGTTTAATACTGTATAAACCACAAGAAAGGGTTCACAGCTCTGTAGAAAGTCAGTGAGAAAAGAAAGCAGCAGTGGGGGAGCACACGGAGGCAAAAAATGCCAGCATTCAGTTGAACGGTATGAAAAAAGCCCAACGAAGGTGTTGGGAAAGAAGCCTTCCAGAAGCACTTTAATATAAAATTGGGTCTTTTTTCCAAAGTAAATCTTCCTCCAGGTGTGGAAGATATGGGCAGTTTTTGGACATTGGAGAATTTTCCACACACCTATCATGATTCCTCTGTCAGGGTGTCTAATGAACAACTCTGCTATTCTGATATCATGAACATTACCTTTTACAATACTACAACACATGTATGATCTATTAGACTTCCAGTCAAGATGGTGGCATAGGTAATCACAGCTTGCTTCCTTGCACAACCACATCAAAATTACAACTAAATTACAGAACCGCCATCACTCACGAGTGTCAGAAACCGAGGTGAATAGAAGTCCAACTACAGAATTAAAGAAACCACCTCCATTCAACCTGGTAGGAGGGGCAGAAACATGGAATGGGCTAGTCCCACATCCACACGTGGTGGGGAAAAATAGAGAGATATCTTGGGTGTGAGAAGTCCCAACCCCAAACCAGGCTCCCCAACCTAGGGTTCTAGTGCCAGAAAGGTAAGTGCCCTCAACTTCTGGCTGAAAAACCCAGCAGGGATTTAGTCTGTGGAAGAAACGGCTAAAGGCGAAAGCAGTTCCTCTTAAAAAACCCACACACAAACTTGAAGACTCACTCTCAGGCTACAGCACTGGGGTCGCAGCTTGAAAGGCACCAGTGGCACACAGGGAGGAACTGGAGTGTCTGGCACCAAGGCAAGAGCTGGGGGACAGCTTTCTCCCAGACAGAAAGGTGAACAAAGGTCATTGTCCCTTTTCTAAACCCTCCCACCTCAAGCCACAGAGCCACAGAGCCAGCAGGTGGGGACCATATCTGAGACTCCATCAACCTGGCTAACACTGTTTGCCCTACCCTGGAGATCCCCTGAGACTCTGTCCCATACAACTTACAAGCCCACACAAGCTGTTAACAGAGATTTTTTCATATGAATGGCTGGTCTTGGGTCATGCTCCACAACTTCCCAAATCTTCTCAAACAAGCAACAAGTTGGCCTCAGTGAGCCCCTCACCCGTGTACCTCTTGCTAAGTGATCCCAGGCCTGACATTAGTAGCAGCCACCCTAGATTCACAGCTTGGCTTTGCTTGGGAATCTCCACACCCATCACAAGTAGCAGCCATCTCAGATTGCTTTATAGCCAATGGCAGTGTGGCCCCTGGCAAAACAGGTGGGGCTGACCTTGGCCTGCACCATCTGGGAAACCCCAGAGCCCATGCACCCAGTGAACAGCCATAGACCACATCGGAACACCACCAGCCTGCCCCCGCACAGCTGATCCTCCACAGAGCATGGAGGCTGGCTCAGTGGTCACAGCCAGTCCTTGCAGCTGACTGGCCCTGGAAAATCCCACCCACTGACCTACTAACAGCAATCAAGGCTCAACTACAAGAGCAGAGTGTACTCAACCCATACAAAGAGCACACCTTGAGTACCCAGCTTGGGTGACAGGAGAGACTGTGCCACTGGACTTTACAAGACACCTACTACATTAGGCCATGCTACCAAGACAGGGAGATGTAGCAGCTCTACCTAACACATAGAAATAAACACAGGGAGGCTGCTAAAACAAGGGGACAAAGAAACATGGTTCAAATGAAAGAACAGAGCAAAGCTTCAGAGAAAGAACTAAATGAAATGGAGATAAGCAATCTATCAGATGCATAGTTTAAAACACTGGTCATAAGGATGCTCAAGGAACTTAGTAGAAACCTCAACAGAATTAAAAAGATCCAATAAAAAACCAAGGATATACTAATTGAAATAAAAAACAATTTACAGGGAATCAACAGTAGAGTGGATGAAGCTGATAACCAAACCAATTATTTGGAACATGAGGAAGCAAAAACCAACCAATCAGAACAAGAAGAAAAAAGAATCCCCCCCCCCCCCCCCCCAAAAGAGGATAGTATAAGCAGCCTCTGGGACTTTTCACATCATAGGGATGCCAGAAAGAGAACAGCAAGAAACTGAAAATCTACTTGAAGACATAATGAAAGAAAACTTCTTTACCTTGAAGAAAAGAGATATGCAAGTCCAGAAAGCACAGAGTCCCAGAGATGGATGCAAAAAGGCCCACTCCAAGACACAATTAAAATGCCAAAAAGTTAAAAAGAGAGAATCTAAAAGCAGCAAGAGAAAAGCAGTTATTTACCTACAGGGGAGTCCCTATAAGGCTGTTAGCTGATTACACATACACTGCAGGCAGGCAAGAAGGGATTGGCAAGAAACAAAGTCATGAAAAGCAGAGACCTACAACTAAGATTGCTGTACCCAACAAAGCTATCATTTAGAATCGAAGGGCAGAAAAAGAGCTTTTTGGACAAGAAAAAACTAAAGGAGTTCATTATCACTAAAGCATTATTATATGAAATGTTAAAGGGACTTATTTAAGAAAAAGATTAAAACTCTGAACAATAAAATGGCAATTAATACATACCTATAAACAACTGAATCTAAAAACAAACTAGGCAAACAAGAACCAGAGACAGATTCATGGATATAGAGAGCATTTTGATGGTTGCCAGATGGGAGGAGTGTGTGCAGAATGAGTTAAGAGGTGAGAGACTAAGAAGTACAGATAGGTAGTTATAGAATAGCCATGGGGACATAAAGTACAGTATAGAAAAGGAGTACAGAACTTAAGATGCATGACTCATGGACATGAACAATGGTGTGAGGGAGTGGGATTGCTGAGTGTGGTGGGACTAATGGGGAAAATTGAGGAAACTGATTGCACAATAAAACATAATTAAAAAACAAAATACTGTAATGAACCATATATCCTGTTTGAAAGCAAAGTGAATGAGTTCTGGATGTTAACCAAATAGGTCAACATTCCCATCTACTTGGAGGTGAAGTATCAGGCCCTTCCCCTCTATGGAGATTTAAATTTCTATTAAAAAGGAAAAGAAAAATGTTGTCCAGGGAAAAGTAACATATGTAATTTATTTTTAATCTTAATTTTCAGAAATGAATGCCTACAATCAGAGTTTACACACACAGAATGATACAGAAATAGTGATGAACCTATTTGCCTATACAGAATAGAAAGTTGAATTAGAATCTAGAATCCTATCCTTCACAGTAAAAAGTCACTGTGCAGCAGATCGTGTCCAGAGACAAATGTTTTTTTAATAAAGATTTTATTTATCTTTAGAGGGAAGGGAAGGAGAGAGGGAGAGAAACATCAATGTATGGTTGCCTCTCATGCATCCCCTGCTGGGAACTGGCCTGCAACCCAGGCATGTGCCCTGACTAGGAATGAAACCATGGTTGTTTGGTTTGCAGGCCTGCGCTCAATCCATTGAGGTACACCAGCCAGGGCCAGAGACAAATATTAAGCAATACAGTTTCCATGTATTTTTGTAGAAGAATGTCTTTATCTAAATTAATAATAATTAATCCTATTAGTAAAGGAATATTAACCACTAAGTTAGCAAGTGCCTTCATTTATAGTGTATACATGAAAGTAAATGCAGTGACTTGAGATTTGACTTCTTGTGAAAAGTGAGCAAATTGAGAAGATTGCCCCTAGTTATATTAATTTGCTTGCTGATGATGCTAAAACTACTGATTGGGGCTAAGTCGAATATCTTCTCTCATTCATCTCTTTATATCCTTGTATCCCTACAACTTAGGTCTCCGTACCTAGGAGCTCAATCTTACTTGGAAAAAAATGTGTTCCTCTTTCCTCGTCCATCTTTTGGGCACCCAGTATTTCCTCCTTTTCACCTAGAATTCTGATTCTGTTGGAGGGGTAATGGCCCCAGCTATAAAAAACCTCATTTCCAAGTCTCCTTCCCATGTAGAGGTGATAGTGTAATTCCCTTCATATCAAAACGACCAGACTGATTCATACTTTGAGAAATGCATGAATCTTTTCATTTGTGCAGTGAACATCTACCATGAAGGGATTTAGGGGATGGAAGCTGGACCTTCTGAAGTAATAGAAACCCCTGAGGACACTGATGCTATTACACAATTGTCCTATCTACCCACTGAGATTCATGATTTTGTTTCGGTTGTTATGTTAGAAAACTTAATTCTTACCTGATGAAGTAATCTGTTAGTCTCTTACTTGTAGCCAAAATCAGTTCCTGACTACATTCACATTAGTGATTTGTAAGACATAAAAGGCATATCTACTAGAGACAAGAGAGACCAGGATGTTGGATGACAGAAACAAAACAATGATTAAAAATCTCAGTAGAGTTTTGTTCAGATCAAGTCAGGCAAAATGGAACAAGTAATCATTCTGCATCAATATTTAAAATCAGCCATAGCTGGTGCAGCTCAGTGGATTAAGTGCTGGACTGGGAACCAAAGGCTGGCCTGTTTGATTCCCAGTCAGGGCACATGCCTGGGTTGCAGGCCAGGTCCCCAGTGGGTGGCCATGTGAGAGGTAACCACACAATGATGTTTCTCTCCCTTTCTCCCTCCCTCCCTTCCCCTCTAAAAGTACATAAATAAAACCTTTAAAAAAAGATTTAAAATCAACACAAGACTGGGACTATTAGTTCATAACATAAAATCCTTGGAGTTTTAGCTGTCCACCACCTTAACATAAACCAAGTATAGTATGAACCTATTGACCAAAAGTAATTAAATCCTGTTAGTGGACATTTGTGTGCAGACTTATAAGAAGTGATTTTCATAACACTTGAAACGAATAGCTTTTTGTTTTCCAAGGTTTCAGGAGTAAAACCAATGGCTGAAAATCAAAGAGATAAAAATCCTTACCTCATATGGAAATGGTCTATTAAACCGAACTTCCCCACAATAAATTGCTCGACAAAGTAGTGAGACCCCCTAACACTTAAAGAGATAATCAAGGATATTCCTGGCTGCCAGAGGGAAGGGGGTGGAGGGACTGGGTAACTCAGACACAGACTAGTGTGGTGATGGCCAGAGGGAAGGGGGACTGGGAACTGGGTGGAAGCAGGCAAAGGGGGGGGGGTGAAAGAGAATGGGGACATCTGTAACAGTGTAAACAGTAAAAATAAAGGAAAAAGTGGATATTCCTGGATTATATGAGAGGTATAGCTAGAAAACCTCCACATTCCCTTTTAACTCTTCAAGACCATATAGTTTTCACACCTAGAACATATATTGGGTAACAGCAAAATAAGACTTTGTCTTGGGTATATCACTATACAAAACTGATACCACAGAAAGATCTGATTAATAGAAAACCACTTTTATAAAAAAAATTCATGTACGATAAATAAAACATCACATGATGATGACTAATTTAGGCAGTTCCACACAACTGGTTACAGTAGGATTTACTAAATCAAGACATTATAGTAATATGTATGGTGGTTATTTTATGAGATTTCATTCTCCTTTTCTACACCTTGAGAAATTCTAATTTCATTTCAAGGCTTCGATCAAATATTTCTACTAGAGAGCAAACTTTTGATGTAAAATAGACATAAATAATACCTGTGCCATACGTTTGTTAGAGATGAAATGAGACAATCCATGCAAAGCACTGGCATACAAAGTTTATCTAAAAATGTTAGCTACTGCCCTGGCTGGACTGGTTAGAGCTCAGCTGGTTAGAGCATCATCCTAATATGCCCAGGTTGCAGGTTCCATCCCTGGTCAAGGCACATATAAAAATCAAGAAATAAATGCACAAATGAGTGAAACAACAATGTTTCCCTCTCCCCCACCTTTAAAATCAATAAGAATTTAAAAAGAAAACGAGATGTGGTCATCACAAGGTAGTTTAAAAATGTTATTGTAATCCACAATAGGCTTCGTTATATTGCTTATTCCTATACTGTTTGCTTATATATTTGTATCCCCTTCTAAATTATGAACATCTTGAATGCAGGGAAGAGCCACATCCTCATCATACCCTCAGGGCTCAGCCCACCATAGTTGCTCAGTAACAATGTATTCAGTCTTACAGCAAAACTGTTGTACTAACTAAAGTCATTCTGAAATTGGAAGAAATATTTTAACATACTTATAAATCAGACAACTCAGGATGATAAATTGACTTGTCAGTTTTTTTTAAGTTCCAAATCTAATCTTCCAGAGATTTCCTGTACAAAATTGTCGCAAAGATCTTTGGAATACTGGTGTCATGTAACTGTGTTACATCCATTAAAAAAAAAAAAAAACCTGCCTTATTAGACAACTAGGTATTAACTGATTTTGTTGGGGATGGCAATGTGCCCAGCTAAAAATAAACAAGTGTCTTTTGCATGTAGAGGTAGCAGTGTGACTACCTTCTTGTCAAAACAAGATTTTTGATTGGTGCTTTGGAGAAAGTTAAAACTATGTGTAATTCATACAAATGCTCTAGCCTGCTTCCATTTAAACAGTTGTTCAGTAGTTGTAACCATGTATCACAGTCCTCCCAATTTTTAAAACTGTATTTCAATAACTATTCAGGTAGATTACAAGTATTCAAAAATATAAGTGACCACCAAAAATTAGCCCACACCCACTATAAATAAAAAATATGAAGGCAATTTCTCACTTGATTTCCAGGTCTCAGCTACACATTCATTTCTGGTGTTAGCTTGCCACCTTGTGGCCTCTCACCCCCGTGCAGTTGTGTCTTGAGCACCAATTTGAAGGCCTATGAAACAGATGAGCTTTATATACACTCACATCTACTTATAAACTGATTTTATATGCAGCGTGAGTTAATCGTGCATCTCCAATTTCACTCCCAGACCAACTTCCTTCCGGAAAAGGTTGACAAACCTTAACTCAGAAAGACAGATGCTGGCTAGCTACAAGTGAATGACCTAATTTTAAAACAAGCTCTGTGAGACATAAAAACCATCTGAATATTTATTGAATAAAACATTCATACCTGTTTCCTGAAAAGGAGTACACCTAATTTTTTTGGTGAAGCCAATGTAAACACAGCCTCTTATAAAGATGGAAAAGCAACATAGTAACAGGACTGACACACAGAAGAGATTACTAAATTAAAATGGTGACATGATCTTTCTTCCCATTCTGGCAAGATTATGAATCTAGAACAATGTCTGCTTACTCTGCTGGAAGTACACACACACACGGTATTGTGACGGTAAGTTTTCCTTCAAGCAGTATCCTAGGGATTGTTAGCCCAAGAACACATGGATTTCTTAGATGAGCCAGGTCTCTAATTAAAAGCTCTGTGACAATCAACTCCAATGCCCGCTGCTTCCATGATTGTAACTGAGTGAGCCGACATGTAAGGAGCTCAAAGCAGTGTGTGAAACATAATTATTAAATATTATACAGTTCTTACTAGAGAAAACCAGAATTCACTCTTGAGCTCCCCAAACCTACTTTCCAGGATCTTGGGACTCAGCCCTTTGTAACTGCTGCTCCAGTGAGCTCCAAATTTTGAAGGGTCTGCTGGGTCATGTTGGCTCTTCAATGGTGTACTTCTGATAAAAGCTGCATTCAGTTATTGCTTAGTCAGTGAAATGGAAAAAAGTAGGAAACCTCTCCTACCCCCACATAGCCAAGCATCCCAGCCTATAGTTTTAAAATAAAAAAATTCAGATTTTCTGTCCTTGTAGAGTGAGTAGAGAGCAAGAGAAACACAGTGAAAATGTCTAGGATTACACACAACCATGATCGTGTGTTGGAAAGGCCCACAACATTACCAAGCAGAAAGTTCTGGTTCACTTTGGCAAAGCAGCTGTTTGTTGTCTTTCATACTTTTGTCTCTTCTACTTTAGCTAGGTGGTGGTGTGGGACCAAGATTTTATTGGAATAAACTCGAGTTGCTTCAGTTTCTCATTTTACACTGTTACAAACTAAACTACATTCTAAAAAAAATTTAGACATCAATGTATGGCATGAAATGTGAAAGAACTTACAATCTCACCTTAGTTACTAAAGTAAGTACATCACACTGCCTCTCCTAGTTGCAACTTCCCCAGGTAATCCCAACACAACACCCTAATCCTGCTTTGAATGGCAATCAATACCTTCTACCAGGAGGGCAGCAGAGAAAGCCTTCTGAACCAGGATTCCTGTATTGTAGGTTTGGTGGTATCAACCCACGTTCCTCATGTAATTATCTATAAATTAGGGTTCCTAATTTTCTTATTCTCATGGTGCATAGGTTAATTACATTTTAAATCTCAACACCCCCCTGTCATTATGGGTTTATAACATTCCCTTTGAGGACACATATACTTGAGTGAAAACTTTGTAGTACTCCAGTTTTAAGTAGCCATAACTGGACTGAGTACATACATCAAGGTTGGATTTTAAATTTTCAAATAATGTGATGAGTTTATCCAGCTAAGTAGGTTTTTTTTTAGGGTTAGAAGTTGCAAACAAGTACTACTAAAATGACTTAGTTGTTTGAACATTTGGATTTTATTGACTGCCAGTGTACCGGAAATAAGAGATCGATCCATTCCTGGCATATTCCATCCCCCGTTCCATACTTAAGTGTCTAGGTGTTAACATCTTGAAGTATCCAATATAAAAGGGGGTACTTCTGTTTGGCAAAGGGCAAGGGGCACTCCCCTTGAGATAACTCATAGGTACCTGTTTCTAATGAAGAATTTCCTGGTGTGATCTGCTCCTTAATAGTTTAAACCCACTGTGTCCTCAAAAGTGCAGACTTCTTGGATACCTCGCTTCTATACAGGGACTTGGCACATGAGGGCTATTGTTATCACCGATGCCCATTCTTCTCCAACTTACCCAGGGGACGGGAGTATTTAAGGGATCCAGGCATGGTAGCACTAAAGCCCCTGTCTTCCTAAGAACATTCTTTTGCCACACCCATAGCTGTTTGGGGGAACACAAGCACCTGGTAGCTAAGATGGCAGCAAACAAACCTGTGATTACAAGTTTCAATGATAGTGCTCCCAATACACAACAGACTAGTGTGTGGAGAGAGCTGGTGAGAACCTAGTCAATCTCTCCACAATTGCTGCTCAGTTCTTTTGCCCTTAGTTTCTTTGGTTTAAGAGTACACAACTGCAGTGAATGTCTGCAGCAGTGAGCCCTTTGCGTATCTGTGCTCCCTACCTTCATCAACAGTTACCTCTTTCATGGCTCCAGAAGTTCAAGTTGTAAAACCGGTATTAAACTGTTAACAAAACATAAATGTGGGTCTTAAAAGTCATCTATAAATTCTCTCTTAATACTGTTTTCTAATTACCTGGGGGGGTCCTTCAGTAGCCAGACACTTTGTACAGTGTAATTCTAGCTAAAGGAACCAAGCCATCCATTACGTCACTTGGCTATCGATGCTTCCCAAATCAAGGCATGCACAAGAGCTGATAGTTTACTTGGTTCCAACTCTCAGCTGTCACATACCTCTCTCCTCATCTTACAAGGTTAAGAGTACCTAAGTCTTAAGAGTTGGTTTCAGAATATATGGAAACATGTAGTTCTTAGCAGTGCCTATCACACAGTAGCAGCCAACAAGTACTAAATGTTACAACATTTGCATATTTGATACATGAGACCTAGGCCAGGGAAAGCTAGATATAGCAGATTCCTGTTAAGTCTAAATGTAGACTTATGACTGTACTTCTGGCCTTCAAGTATTCAAAGCTTATTTCTCCCCTTGGCCACAATATATGACTTTCTACTATCTATAATTATCCTGTTCTAGTCCCTCTCCAACTTAATCTGTGGAAACCTTTCAATTCTGCTCATTGTGCTCCTTAAAAAGGGCTCCCATTGCTGCTTCATAAATTTATATTCTGCAACTTAATGTAAACCTAACCTGTATCTCCCAAGGCTGTTTGGCCAAGCAGATACTCTGAAACTTCCCCAAATTCTTTGCCTGCACCACACAGCCAGGAGGCACTCTCACAGTTGGTCTTCCTAATCGTTTCTGTTGGACTCATCTTCTGTGTGCAGTCCAATAAATTAAGACAAAAGTTCTTTAACTTTCTCAACTCCAACCAGCTTCATTTACATTTTAATTCAGCAATCTACTTCTCTGGCTGTTTCCAGATACTGCAAGCTGTATTACTCCTAAGATCTTCTAATTCTGATGCTTTAATGCCCATTTCTTGGCCTTCTATTATACCCTCCCTCTGACACCATGAGACCTCCAGTCCCTTGGCCACTCCCCTTTTGTGCTGGCTTTGTTTCCTAATCCTAACTGGACTCAGTTCACTGGCCCAATTCCCATACTAGGACTATGCAACCTCTTCCTCCTCTATTCAAGCCAAGGAACACAACTGGATGTCACATAATCATGCGGTGCCACGTTATGCTCTGATAGGTCAACTGAACCTTGAACATTCACCAGTAATTCCTGTATATCTTCTACTTAGCTCCCTCTTCCATTCATCTCATGCCTCAAAGTACAAATGCATCATTTGTACTTTGATTTCCTAATCTTCCAAGGCTTGCTGTTGGGAAGGTTTTTAAAAAATTTCATCACAAGGAGCTCACCATTTCTACTTAACAGACTTAGTCTAAGAGAAAGTTCCTTTCTATTTTGTAATGCTGATACTTCCACCAACCTATGTTCTTGGGACTGGGCTCTATCAAAGACTCCATTTCAACTTTGAGCTCTTTTTAATGGGTACCTCTCTCGAGTTCACAAATGTTCAAGACTAACTTTAAAAACCTCCAACTATGGTCAGGGATTAACACATTTCCTTTTCTTTAGAGCAAGATACTTAAATAATTCACTGCCTTCATTTCCTTGGTGAGCTCATTCACCATTCAACTGAACATAATTGGACAAACAGCCACTAAAACTTCTCTAAAGTGGCTAGCAATGGTTAATTTTACTAGCCTGTTTTTCTTAGTCTTATAGGCGTATTTGGTATAGGCATATTTGTAGATGGGCATATTTGGTACGCCCATCTACACTTTACCATTCTCTCTTCTGGTCTCTATAATGCTCCATAACTTTACCTCCTTTACCATTCTCACCTAACCCTTTCTTCTTGAGTTTTCTTTGCTAATTTCCCCCCTGCACACTAAGTGTTGCTATTCCTTGGGGTTCTTCTCTTGCAATCCATCCTTCACTACATCCTTGCTGCTTCTTTCAGTTCTAACAAATGTATTAAGCTCTTACTATAGCTCAGATTCTGGGCTAAATGCTTAAGAGATAAAAGAAAAAGAATGTTTGTCCTCAAGGAGTTTAAACTTCAGACCCCTATAAAGAAACCGATTACCATACCTCTCTGCCTTCATGACCCAGAGGTACCTCAAACTCAACACTTACCTTACCTTTACTTCAACCGCATTACTTCTCTACTACCATGGTAAACAGCATCACCATTCACAATTACCCAAGCTGGAAACTTAAGTATTCTGTAATATACGCAATTTCTCTCACCTTAACCCCTACCTACCAAATCCTTCTCATTGGCATTTGGATATGCTATTTGCCTAAAATTTTAAAAACTGGTTACGATACTCCCCTGAATTTATCTTCTCTCCTTCGCAACAATTATTTCAAAAATAGGTGTTTACACACTTGCTCTCTATACTCCTAAAAATGGCTTCCATTCAAACTAAGTAACTGCAAAGGTCCTGATCACTTTCCTACCATTAAATCCAAAGGATACTTTACAATCCTTATCTTAGCATAACGTGACAGAATTGAACACACTTCCTTAAAATTTTTCCATCCTGCTAGTCTCACAATTTCCCCACTTCTTTGAATGTACTTTAAAATACCCACTTGCTCAGAGTTAAGCCCTGCATTTTTTTCTACAGACTCTTTCCCCAGGCAACCATCCAACTCACAGTACTGCTGCTCAGCCTCACCTGCCTGAATAAACAGGATTTCTTCAACTATGGAAATGTTCTGGACTTCCCCCCTTCCCCTCATTCCATAATGACCAAGTCTTGCCAAATATTCTAGAATCTCTCAAGGCTGTCCACTTTTCTCCTTTAGCCAGCACGACAGTGCCCACTGCTCCCTGGATGGCTTAGACAGCCTTCCTGTTTTTGAACCCCCACTGGAATGCTCCCTCATCACAGTGAACTTCTAAACTCCAAGTGTTAAGAATCTCATTCTTTTGCTTACAACTCAAATGTGAACCCTAGATCTAAAATACTGTGACCTGGCTCTTACCTTTCCTCATTCACTCTAAACTCTTTACCAGCTTTTGGCCCTTTCCTTAAAAGCTATTCCTATCGGAACTTACCTTGGCATAGTTTCCTCTGCCTCACCAGCCTCTCCTTCTTAATTGCTTTCCTTTACCACAGACCACATAGCATCATATTCTCACTCTATTATACATCCTTATAATCCCCTTATATTGATTGTGTAGACTCTGAGCTCCAAGAGTCAGAATTATGTTCACTTCATCTCCCATTTAAGCATTCAATAAAATTTTAAAATTAATACTTATTATCCAAGGTATTGGACTAGGCTCTTGACATAGAATGGTAGGTGACCTAACCAGAAAGGATTTTGACCTTGCGCAAACTATAGGTCAATAATTGGGGGTGGGAGTAAAAAGAAAAAATAAAGCAGGGAGAAAAAGCAATGATAACTTGTGATAAATGCTGTCTTTGAAAAGCAATTCAGTGCTGTAATGGAGTAATCAGTCATGGAGCTAGAAGTCTAAGACCTGAAGAATGAGTTGAGAAAATGGCATTCCAAGCAGAAGGGCTAGCGCAAGGGCCTTGAGAAGGGAAAGACCTAGGATGGTTTGAGGAAGTCAAAAGAAACCAATGTGGCTAGAACACAATGAACAAAGGAGAGTCACAATATGCTTAGGAAGGCAGGAATCACAGTAAAAAACCCAAGCCACATTTTATTCAAGGGCAGTGTGAAGATAATAAATGAATTCCTGAGCCATGCAACCTCAAATACTAAACAAGAAATCAACCTAGCTGCCAGGTGGGTAATATTCTAGAATAAACTCTGTAAGGGGAATATTATAGTGGTCTTCACAAAAAATAACAGTGATTTGGATGAGACATGAAGAGAAGGGCTCCTTTTACTTACAATGGAGAAATAACTATAATTGTGACCAAACACAGGGTAAGTACATGTATTGATTACTATAACATTAAAGAATATCAATTGAGAAACTCAGGTACTGACTTCACTTATCCAGATAGAGAATATTGAGAGAGGAACAAACTGAAGGCAGGGTGGGAACAATACAATGATTTGGATGTGATATGTTTAACTATGAGTGAGACAAGCCTGAAAAGGCTTGAGAAGCTTAGGAAAAGTCTGATCTCAGAGACAATACCAAACTCCATAGAATAGACTAAACCATCCCAAGAGAGGAGACATACACAATGAACCCAAAGGTCAGGTACTGGGAGAGAAACTAGAGTTGGAGCCAGTGATGGAGCCAAAAGCATAATGGGAAAACTAAAAGAGAAAATGTCAAAACCAAGAGACTATTTCAATCGACCCTATCAAAAGCACCTCGGGCAGTGAGTAAAGGCAGGAAAATGAACCTACAGACACGGCACCATGAAGAGACTGGTGATCTGGACAAGATCAATTACAGGGTAGCTGAAGGGGCATATAAAGTGGCACCAAACCACAAGTGAAGAAATGGGGTGTTTTGAGTAGGCAACTTAGATTAGCTATGATGGGGACCAAATAAAAGGCAGCCCCTTCTTTGAATAGAAGCTACTATGGCATATTTATAAGCTTTCGGAAAGGATATATAGTAAAAGAAAGTTGACGAAACAGGGAAAGTTAATTAAAAGTTTTGAGGTGAGGGGGCATGGGATCCAGACCCTGTGAGGAGCTGGTTTGTAATAACAGTGCAGATATGAATCGGTTTGTAAATCTGGTGGTTGAAAAGTTGAGAAAATTCCCATAAAATTTCTGTATTTTCTCAGCAAAATGTGATTTAAAGATATTCAGATGAAGAGAGTGGGAATATTAAGTGATGGAGTGTATAAATCATCTAAGCTCATGGAAGTTAGTTACAATATAACCACAGAAAAATTGCCATGCAGTTTTTAGATAACCCTGCCTGGTAAAATAATTTTTTCCCTTTCAACTGCTCAAGTAGACAGGTTTTGAGATTTTTTTTCTAGGTCATCACAGAGAGCAGCCTGCTTTCAGGATATTAGCAAAGAAGTGTGCATAAAAGTGAGATCTAATTTCTAAGCTAAACAAACTGAGGACCCAAGCTGGCAAGTGGTAGGATTAACTGATTAGCTGTGATAAGGTGTAATTTTTTAATGGAAATATCTCCAGATGTGCTGAAAAACATTTGTGACTAGAGAAAGAGGATCTTGAATCCAAGAATTTTAAGTAAGAGATTTTGATTACAAGGTATAGGACTCCTACTTATGAGGAAAAGACCCCTGACATGAGAGATACCTTGATTGAGGAAGACCACTGGGAAATACCATTTTGTTCATTGAATGGTAGTATTGAATGGCACAGATAATAAATGAGTAGATATAAAACTCTTAAACACTTATAGAGAATGGGCATGTGAAACTTTATTATAGAGCTACCTGGATATCTCTCTGACGAGGTGACATCTAGGCTGAGAACTGATAGATAAGGAGTCAGCCACACAAACACAGGAATAAACATTCCAAACTGAGGAGACAATATGAGTGAAGACTCTCAGATGTAGCTTGGTGTATGTTCAGAGAGATGGAAACACTGGGAAAAGGGGAAGTAGGTGTAAGTGGAGAAATAGGCAGGGACTTTAAAGAGATTAAAATTTAATCAAAGCGCACTTAGTTGGCATTTAATATTTAAATGCCGGGTGATATTCAAAACATTATCAATACAGTCAATCAACTGGAATGAATAAACTGACCAGTCAGAATTACCATTTGTAAACAGGTAATGCAGCCACATTGGTGCACACCTGCTGATTACCCATCCTGGCTGAGTCAGTGCCCTTTTAGATCATTTCCCCAAAGTGTGTTCCTTAGAACACTAATTTAGAGGTATATACCCAAATATTTAAAAACTTTGATATAGATCTCACCTTCCAAACCTCTGATTTCACCACAATAAAGATTTTGAAAAGGGCTGCCTTACTGCTCTGCTTTTTAACACCTCTTACATCCATTAGTTTCTTTCTCAAGCCCATTAACATTCTTCTGGCTCCCATAATTTTTTGAGTGGACTATTTCAAGTCTCTCTGATTTTAATCTCCAACTTACCCAATTTATCCTCTTTATACAGCTAATTAGCGTTCTAAAATCGGTACCTGATCAAATTGTTCAACTTAAATGCACTAAGTAACCACATACACATAAAAGATAAAGACTAATATGGCAAACATAAGAACCTTAATCACATGGCCCATCTGCCTCACTGGCTTTTCCAACTGCCTTTCCACACGGACCACTTGCAATACCACAAACGCACTGTGTCCCTTTGCATCCCTCCACAGCTAGGATTTCTTTTTCCCCTCTGACCTTCTGATGTCTACTCATTCATCTGTCAAGACCCATCTTATCTAACAAGACTTCTGTAACTGCTAACCTTCCCCCATAAAAAAAAAAATAGCATTTTTCCTTTGATGTTGCTAGCTGTACTCTTCATGTACTTTTATCTCAACAGCTTTAGCAACTGTATGTACTAACCTAATAATCAAACTTGCCTTGTTAAAACTCTACCTCTGCCCATCTCTTTAGAATTTAACAATGCTGAATTTAACACTGCTAAAAATTTCCCAAACTGTTATATTTCACTCAACACAATGATTTTAAATAACACATTGTGATCTGCAGATTCAAATTTTAGGGGATTTGGAAGAGGGAGAAAACACAAATTTTTAATGATGAAATCTCAGGTAAATTTAGGCTGGAGGAAAAATGTATCTCAACACAAATGACTGAGAAAAAGTATACCATGAAAAATATATAATTTATGATTCTTTTTTAATACTTAGGCATTACATTCCATATCAAATTTTACCAACATGCTATTCTATAAATTCATATTTATTTTTATGCCATAATTTGATTTCTGTTCCATGCTAAAAAGCCCACTCTTCCATAATAACTTTTAGCATACAGAACCCAAACGTAAAAAATTTAACTCAATGTTGGCAAACTCTTTTCCCTAACATATAGGAGAACAGTTACAAAAATGTCTAGTGGTCAATTTTATGTTAAATGAGCAAAGGAAAAGCCCCAACACATTGGCATTTTCACTTAACAGCGGTTTGTCACTAAATTCATCAGAAATAAACCTACTTGCTACTGCACTATATATAGGGCAGTTTTGCCAAATGCCTACCTTTAAGAGCTAGATCATCTTTGAAGAAAACTGTACGAAAACATAAGTTGTTAACAAAAGTTTAATATTACAATTACTCAAAGTTAAGTTATTGTTAACTTAGGAAAAAAACATGTATTTATCACCCATAAGAACTTTTATTTTAATAAATAACAATGGATTTACCAAAGGATAGGGATTTTAATGTATCAAGTTTTATGCATATTGGTAATAAACCTTAAGGAGGTAAAACCAACTATTCAATATAACCAATTAGGCCCTAAAAAGAAAACTGTAACACCTGCTAGTTTATTCAGAGTACCAGCAATTTCAGTTAATGTTAAGTGCTTCATTTTTCCTGCAAATCTGATGTTGCACAGGGAATAAACACATTTTCATACTATCACAATCTCATCAATATCTCAGGCTAATAATATTGTGAATGCAACTGGTTTATAACAAACACAAAGTCAAAAATCAATTCTACCATTTATGGCAAACAGAAACAAGTCAATTTGAAAGGATGTTTTGTTTCCAGTACTGATTTTAGTTGGACTTCAAATGAGAAGGTCATAAACGCTTCTGAAATAACTTCTATCTGTGGCTGTGAATCCACAGTATAAATACGGTGAATAAAACTAAACTCTAAGAGCTAACCATATACTGAATAACCAAAATAATCAACTATAACAACTAATACTGCTCTGGAAGACCAATCTAATGAAAAAAGCATCATTAGATATGGTGGGAAAATACAGACAAATCTGTACAATCTAACATCTATAAACAGTAAAATCAAAAAATCCAACTTCCTTATAGAAAGTGTTTCATCTATGTAATTATAAATGTTAAGGACTCTTGCATTTTGTAAACACAAGATGGGCTCGATTTGATGATACCGATTTTAAGGTTTATAAAAATGTTTAAAAAAATTTTTCCACAAAAGTTTATACAGTTTAAAGCTATACACCAATCTATAAATCTCAGAAAATGGAAAAACAAACCCTTATAAGATCACATGTATAAAACAAGAAATGAAATGTGATTTTATTTAAGGCAATACTGGGCTACTTCACAAATCACCACCTCAAATATTTACACTGCTCCACACTACTAGTTTCTATCACATTCACAAAAGATTGTTTTTAATACCAAATGTTTATAATCTCTGATGTAAATTCTTTATTCACATTTCCGTTATATTTCAGGGACTCATATCATTTATATGTACCCAATTAGAAGCACTGAGGGGGGGGGACTGTAACTATAAGAAACTGCTAAAGAATCTGCTTTAATTTCACATGAATACCACCCTGAAATCCTGGATGGCAAATTTACAAAGCAGAGCAAGGTGTTGTTATAACGTGCCTACTTTGAGAAAAGTAATTTTGAGATCTTGTAAATAAATGCTTTATGTAAAAATCAATCAACTATGGCAGTTTCTAGTTTTCGTTCAAAAATCCTTAATTTAAAACAATGAAAGTTTTAAAAACTTGATTACTTAGTTAAAAATTAAAATTCCAAATATAAACGTGTCATTTAATAGTTTAGAATTACACACTGCTGGTGGCAGCAAATGATTTACAATAATAAATATATACAAAAAAGATATCTACAGAGTACTGTTATACATGAGCAGTGACCTGGTGAAACATATCAATCACATAGATAATTCATTTTAGTTCATAAAAAGGGCAATTGGTTGATAAAAATTTGAGGTTAAGCTCAATATTTACATTAACTGAAGTTTTGATTCTATTCTTCAAGTCCCATAGGGATAAAAAAAAGTTTTACATGACAAAATGCCATGTTTTTAATTTTTATTTTTTGGCCAGGTTAATTCATGTCTACAAAAAATAACAAAAAAGTTTCACGATTCTAGCATGCTTGATGACTTTCTATTTAAAATAAAATTGTAAATGATGTATTTATAGTACATTAGTTATCAGTACTGCCCTCTCCCTGTGGCTTTACCGATTTCTTTCATAACAGATACATCTGGATCATTTGAATGTACTTCAAGTTTTTTCAGACTGACGGTAGGTTTCATTTCCTGAAGTTGCTTTAAGACAAGCTCAGTGCAATCTTTCAGAGTCTTGTCTAAAACAATTTTTACATTGTTACTGCACTTAAGCTGTGATGGATTGGCAAACTGTACAAAGGTTTCAGTTTCTTTATGAGCACATATATGATTTCCACTGTTCACAGCAGTTTTGTCAATATTTTTTCTTGAATTTGAATGGGATCCTTTTTTATTCCCACTATTTGGATGGTCTTTGTCAGTATTTTTCTTCTGCTTCACTGCAGACTCCTCAAGAAACTTCAGAAATGATACTTCAAATCCCATTGGCTTAAATGAGCTCCAGTCGAAAGATGCAGGATGCTCCTCAGTGGTTTGAATTGCAACAGCAGTTTCTTCTTCTTTATGCACATTACTTAACTCAACTGCTGGTGCTGGTTCAGCTTTTTCAACTTTCCTCTTTTTATTTTGGGAGACATTTTTTTCTTTATTAACTCTCTTCAAATTACTTGCTTTTTGCTTTTCTGACTGGCAGGGATTATCTTCCTGAACATCACTTTTTACATTTGAAGAGGTATGAGCTTGGGTCTCCACACTTGTTTTGTCTTCATTTATTAATTTTGTAATAAATAATTCTGTTAGCTCATCCATTTCATCTTTTTCACTTTTTACAACTTCCTTCTGTGGAACTGCAGTTGTTCTTGAGTTATCATTGCTCTCTGATACACATGTGTCAGATTCCTTCACTTCGTTTTTATCAATTTCTTGCTGAGCAGTTTCCTTTAATTGTGAGTTGCAACACCGTTTGAAGACAATAAGAAGATTGCGGTGTTGTGATGTAAACGCTTTAGATAATTTATGGCATTTATAATGTCTAATTATATTGCTTTCACTTGTAACAACTGATGTACACCCCTTTATCATACATGGATACTGGGCCACAAATCTGCTTGTACATTCAGATAAGGCATCATTTCTAGCCTTTATAGAATAGACATGCTTTCCACGTTTCAGAGAATAAGGCTTATTTTCTTCAATTTGTACAATCTTTGCATTCTTGTTTTCTATATTATTTTTTTTCTTTCGTTTGGTCTTAGGCATTTTGGTTACTTCCTTTCCAGATCTGTGTTTTGTCCCCCGATGTTTAGACTTTGTCTTTTCTTGGTTTGCTTTGCTTGATATATTTTCCTGACCAGGTGTTAATCTTCTTGGCCGAATCAAATGAGCTTTATGTTTGTCATTATGCTTATTAAAAATGTGTCTAAGGAGATTAGACCGAGTTGCATATATACGGTCACAGCCTTCACAGTCACACTTGTATATGCCATCTTCCTCAGTTTTACTTCCCCTTATCCCAATTCCATGGTCTGCCTCAAGATGAACAACGTAGTTCAAGTATGTCGTAAATGAGGATTTACACTCTAACTGGTCACATGAAAATTTTCCAACATCCACAGAAGCAGTCATACTTTCAATTTCCTCAGGAGTCATTTCATGAAGTTTCATATAGTGTTGTATCAGGCCAGTAATTGCTTGGAAAATTCGAGAACAGTCACTCACCTGACATCGAAATTCTTTTACAGTTTGTTTAGTTTCAATTTCTTCACTTTCTTTACCAGCTTCGCTTTCCTCTTCAACCTCTGCAGAAAATGCAGGTAGATCTGATTTGTGTACAGCCTGGTAATGCAGAATTAAGTTCTGTTGTATTGTAAAAGCAGCAAAGCAACCCTGATGAACACATCGGTAAGGTCTGTAGGGACTGTATCTTGTTGGGAACTCAAGGGCCTGGGAAACTGGCTTCTTACGTTTTTTCTCCTCCTTTTCTTTTTTATGTCTTCTAATTTTCCTTCCTTTGGTTTGTATGTTTGTGAGACAATTTGTGTTACATTGTTCTGAAATAACTGTAATCATCTGTGAAGAACTTTCTGTTTTTTCAGGACTTTTTTTGCCTACAAGTTGTTTTTCTGGAATCACTGCTGTATTATTGAAAGCATTTTCCTTCATTGCCCCCAATTCCACGGCAGACTGGAGTTCCCTTTTATTTTCCTCTGTCATAACTAGCTGTCTTTTTACTTGTGGTATTCGTGGGGCTGACAAATTTTCACTCTGAGACTTTCTTCCATAAGGTCTTTTTATTTTTAACTTTACCATTTCCTCCGTTGTAAAATGATGTACCAACTGACAGTGTGCCCGAAGATTAGAATTTCTTGTAAATGTTTTCGTACATGTAGGTACTACACATTTAAATGGAGCAAATTTCAATTGATTCTTCTTAATTTCAAGAATCATTTCTGGAGTGTACTGATGAATTTTACCATAGTGCTTAAATAGAGCATCCTTTGTCATAGCACTGTAATTACAGCCTTGGTTTTGACACACGAAGGGTTTATTAACTTTGTCACTGAACTGAATATTATTTAGCATTTCAGAAACTGGCTGAACAACTGTAGCATTTGGAATTGATTTAACAGGAGTAGGAGTCAGTGTCACTGACGTATTTATTAGTACACATTGGGTTGCTGGAGTGGATAGATCATTTTCCAATTTTAATTTCTGTAACCCTTCTAAAATTTCCTGCATTTGATCTTCCTTATGTAATACTTCAGACTGAGGAACGTTACTTTTTGCTGGCATGACACCCATGAGGGAGGAAAACTGAGAAGTACCAAGTAATTTGTTATTTTGTGCAGTGTTCACTGAAGGAAGTTGAATGGTATAATTTATTTGAGCATTCTGTGATGTTTCACCAACACCCTGAGATCCATTTTTCACCTCAAGAACTTGAGAATTCATAGCACTTTTAATAATTTCAAGAGTCTTTTCAAAATTTTGTATGACACTGTCTTCAGAAATCTGCAAGTCAGAATTTACTGAACTTGTGCATGAATTCAAAGCCATCATTTGGGAATCACCATTTTCGGTTTTTAATGGTAAAGGAGCTAACACTGTATGAGACTCAACATTGGTTTTAAAGTTTTCTTTCACATCAGTCATAAATAACTGATTGTCAACATTATTTAATTTCTGTGTTAGATTTTCCACCAAACCCTGAGGTTCACAATTTGGAATTACATTTGAATGAAGGTTAGTAGTTGGTATTTCAATACTCTTTGCTATAAGTCCCATTGCTGTTAAGTCACTTGTTACCAAGTTTTGGGAAGCATTAGGTGCAATAAGTTGAGGAGTAACTTTCTTTCTTCTCTTAGAAGCACTGTTCCCCTTTTTATTTAAATGACTGGACCTTGTGTTCTGAGGACCACTGATAACTGAAACACGTGAACTATTATTGGTAAAATTTTGTGATGGCCCACCAGAATCAGGGAATGTACTAGAGCACAAACCATTTTCAACCGTTTTTAGTAGTAAGTCATTTGTTGGAAAAACAGGCAAACTGCTGCATTCCTCAACGGAGGGAGTTTTGGAGTTTGGTGGTCTATTCTGGTTTGTCAGCAGGGGATTAGGGTGGCATACAGTCTGCAACAGGGGTGGTGGCACTGCTGGATTTGGTATCACTGTTGCATTTACTTGTGCTGCATCTGAGACACAACTTGCTGGAACATGAGGAAGCATTTCAGTACCTTCAAATGTACTAGGAATGCCAGCAGTTTCCAAAGCCTGTTTAATAATTTCACTTCCTTCTTGACTAACACCTGTACTAAAGTTAGTCACACCAGTCCTAGGAAATGTATTTGGTAAAAATGTTGAACGATTTTCAGCAGCAAGAAGTTGCAGGAATGATGGATCTTTAAAACATGCTTCTGAATTGAAGGTAGACTGTTGTGGCTGCTGCATATTTACTGCATTTGTTGAGAGAATCATGCTGGCAAGAAGAGAAGGCTGTCCATTACTCTGTAGAAGTTCTTGAGCAATCTCTGCTCCATCCAGTGGTTTACAGTAAGATCTCTTAGATAAGTGTCCACCCAGAGATCTGGGATTGGTAAAAGCCCTGTAACACCTGCTACAGATAAATTTTCCATCTCTGATAATTGCAGGCCACTTAGCCCTTTTATTGTGCTTCGGTTTCCTTTCCTTCCCATTTGGGCCCCGCCCACGGTCTTTCTTAACTTTTTCAGGAGCAGACTGTTGGGCACTGGTACTACTGAAGTCATCTGCAACATTTACTTGTGAGGGAAAAACTGCATTTTCACCATTGCCTCCTTTGAGAAAGGAGGAATTGGTGTTTCCCTCAATCTGTGAGGAAAAATGATTTGAATTATTTTCCAGTTGGGAAAAAACAGAGTTGGTTCCACTATCTGCTGGTGAAGGGAAGAGAGACATTGAACTACTTTCTGCAGGTAAAGGGAGGAAAGGATCTGAGCCACTGTCAATATTCAAAGGTAAAACTGTTTTGGTTAGATCTTCCATTTGTGCTGGCAAGGTAGTATTAGACAAATTTTCCATCTGGGAACATAACATACCACCACCTTGTTCATTTTTATCCTGAGAAGGTATATTTGGATTTATGACACTTTCCACTGAGGGTAACAGTGGAGTTGACACAGTGGCTAAATGAGCTGGAAAAATGGAAGATGAGACGTCTTGCAACTGATCTGAACAAGTAGGATTCCCATTGGCTTTGGTCTGTGGTATAAAAAATGCATTGTTAGAGCTGCTCACCTGTGATGGCAAAAAATAAACAAACTTTCCATTATTTGGTGCATTTAAGTTGTTAGATTTCTGACCTTTCTTATTTTTGCACTGCATTTTAAATGCAGCATACTGGTCAGGGTGTGCTGTCTTCATGTGTTTCCCAATACTCTGTGAAGAATTATAGGTTCGAGTACATCCCTCAACCTGGCAACTGAATTTCTGAACTGGCGCTTTTGGAGGCACTGATGGAGTTCCTAAAGAACTGCTTAGGTTGGGCTGTGGTGGAACAAATGTGATACTTTCTAATGTCTTTAGAGGTAAATTACAAAGATTGGACGAAGTTTTAACATTACCTCCACATTCAAATTTAGATGTTGACAAACTGTTTTGAAATCCTGCCTGATTTTGCACAGAAAAGTTCATCAAGTTGTTCACTTGTTTCTCTAAGTTTTGTGGGGAAAGTTCTTCTGTTTTGAGGGTTTCTGAATTTACTAAAGAATTTTGAGTAACCTGGGCTTCATTAAAGCAGTCCTGTTCTTTTCTCTCCTGGAAACCTGGATGACACAGATCATTACAAGAATCCTCAACTACTGTACGTAGATTTGTGACCAGTGATGAACTGGTGTCTCCCACAGTTGAGTTTTCTTGCTTTCCAAAGTTATCCTCGATGCCCTGATTGAGGGATACCTTAATGGATACAGCTACTTCACTGGCCTGCAGCAGTGGAGTAGTAGCAAGGTTTTCCAAACCATTTGACAATGGTTCATCAGCACGCCTGAGCTCAGCAGCAGAAATCTGGTCTTGTTTGGCCACAGGTGATTCTGCCTTGTTTTTCTCCCATGCATCACCTCTATCTGCTGATAGGGTATTGCCTGTGTTTTCTGAAAAAAGCATAGACATTTCTTTCTCAGTGTTCCCTTCTGAGTTCTGATTCACTTTGGTAGACTGAACAGAAGCTCCAGATGAATTAAGCTGTTCTGGAGGCAGCACTTCTTCAGGAGTACTGTGATCATCCAGATGCTTTTCTAGCTCACTCTGAGAACGATACACTTTACCACAACCTGTAAACTTACAAGTATAGGTATTGTAATGCTGTGCTTCATGATCATATAGTAAGTAAGCTTCTGAAAAAATTCTGCCACATTTAGGAAACATACACTTTGCTCTAAAGACTTGATGTTCCTTTCGGTGGGTCAAGAGCTCTGCATAACTATTAAAACCGGCCTTACATTTCATCTGTATACAGATATATGGTTTACTGCCACAGTGCATTTGTAAGTGATCATTGAGATGAGTAACACTTACAAAATGCCGCCTACAGTACTGGCAAATAACCTTTTTGCTTTGCATTTCAAGAAAGCGCTTGGCATCTTCACTATCTTTATGCCCTTTTACATGAGCAATTAGATTTTTAAAGTACTTAAAGCCCTTTTTACAAAAAGTTACAGGGCAATTAAATTCATTGACAGGTACTGGTTTCTGGGCTGGGATCACTTCTGGCTCATAAGATTTATCTTTGTCATCATTTTCATCATCTGAACCATCATTGTCATTAAATACTATAAAGTCTGTTGAATAGAGGCTATTCTTTTTTATAGGCCGCTGTTCCTGCTTGGCCACAGCATTAGTCTTCTGATTTTCATTGGTAGTTGTGATCTTAGGAGGCCTTCCCAATCTTCTTAACGGTTTCATAGCTGCTAGTCTCTCTTTACTAGACTGTTTAACATGCAACGTGACATGAGGGACAAAAGTTTCTTTAGAATTAAAGTTCTTTGCACATATGGGACAACTGTAAATCCCATCTTTGTAATGTTTTTGAGCATGTCGTACTATTCTATGACCAAGGAATTCTTTGTCACATAGCACACAATACTGCATGTAGGCTTGCCAATTCCGAAACCTAGCAGATATAAACCCCCTCTCTCTTAACTGTTTTATCTCCTTCTTCTTCTGCTTTTCATCACTAAGAAGGCCAGAATTAGCACCAATTCCACCAGTAAGTCCATTCACAGAAGTTTCTTTAATTTCTTCCTGGTAGTCTACTTTCTCATAAACTTCACTATCATTTAGTTCATCAATTGAAGACACAATGGATGCTTCTTCCCCCATTAATGCAAGGCATTGTCGTTTTAAGGTTTTCCAATCCCAGAATTCTGGATCAAAGGGCCATTGTGTTTTTAATACAAGTAAGAGCTCACAGCGTAGAGAATTTGGTATTGGAAGATTCTCTTCATCGTACTTCTGGTCTGGCTGGTTATACAACATTTCCACAGCATAATATGCGTCTACTGTAGGTTCAATAAGAAATTCACTCAGCTGACAAGCACGTTTAACTTCCAGATCATCAGGTAACAAACATGAAATGGTCTTGCAAATAGATATTTTCACTTCAGTATTTTCTGCAGATTCCAAGCGAAGAGCTTTTACACATAGTTCTATACAGGTAGCAAGTCCAGCCCCTTCAGTCTGTGAAAAATCAAAAAGAAAATGTTAACTTAATATACACTAATCAATGGAGACTGTTAATTTAGTAATTTAAAACTGAGGTTTTCTTTTCTCAAATTTTCCAAAAGGCAATATATGAAAAGATGCTTCTTTATACCATTGTGGCTCAGTCTGGTGTGTGTGTATGTGTGTGTGTGAGAAGAACTATATATAATAGCAGCAAAAGCATAAGCACTGGCAGCCAAGATTATTTAATAGCTAACAAACTGGGAAGTTATTAACTTCTTTGTTTTTTCATATTCCACTTATAAATGATCAAAACAGCAAAACTTTGTAAAATTGCTGGTATAGTTTGGTATAATGTCTGGCACATAGTAAGTGATTAATAAATGCTAGTGACTTTATCACATATCTCATTTCCTAAGTTTGCATTTATAACCCTTCTGAAACAAAGTCTTTTTATCTCATTTGCAATACTGAGAATGTCCCTATCTCCTGAGTAATGAAAGGAGATTTTCACTTGTAACAAAATAAAGTTATTTGCTCCTTAACAGTGGAGACTAATTCTATCGGAAAATTGAATGCCAAATTACCTACCTCAGGCCAGCTTAAGAAATTAGGAGAAGGAGGAGACATAAACACTCTTCCTTTTGAATTAGCATCTTGAGCTGTTATTATAAGATAGCAGTAATGAATATAAGAATCATTGGAAAGAAACATGTAGTGAAGATAAAATGGGTTTTAAAAGTCTAAAAGGGAACATAAATATATGAAAAATAAGTCAGTAAAAAGATGTGGCCATATTTATGAGAATGAAATATGCATGGTATAAGATCAAAAGGCAAGAAAAGAAAGTAAGTCAAAAAAGCTGATAGGATCTACATTTTTGTACATTAAGAAAGAAAGAAAATATTTACTAACACAGAAGCTTAGATTTGTGGGCCAAAAAGAAAGTGAGGGAAGGAGGCTGGGAAACCGAACTGGAATTGATTTCAGAAAAAAAGAAGGGCACAAAGACCAAGAAAAAAAAAAAAGGACAAAACGACAATATGAAACTTATTTTTAAAAGAGACAGAAAAGGACAACTGGGAAAGAGACAGAACCATATGATTTTCTCTAGCTTTCATATAAACTTGCATCATTATTGACAGATTTGAGCCAGAAAACTTTTTATCTGTTACATGCACTAAGGGCTACTAATATGAACATCAATTCCTTTCTCCTGAGATGATATAAACTGCTAAAAAGAAAAAATCTACTTACTGCTTAGAATGAAACTAAAATTACTTGAGAGAGGAAGACAACTGACATTTCTATTTGAATACTGTCTGCTCCTGGATGAAAAAATTAATTTCAACTCATTAAGGGCAAACAGCTTAGAATGAATTTGCTTTAAAAACATCTTTATGTTGTAAATAAATCTGAAACCTTAACAAATTAACACCAGAAAAACAATAAACCATATCAGTTCTTTTATTCTGAGTTTTCAACTTTATATAATTAAAAATTAAGTTGCTAATATTCAAATCACAATTTTCCATAAATATATACATGTGATTAAACAATTAGTCCATGAAATCTACTTAATTGCTAGCCTCATTTGATAAAAATAATGATAGCACCAGCTTACATTTTTGAGCCACAGGAACAAAAAGTAAAGTGGTATCAATTTAAAGGAAGAATAGACAAATCCCCATTTCTGGTACTTGCATAGCACTAGGAAGGCTTCTAAAAATTTCAAGTTTTACCCTTGGTATCCTTTCTTTTTCTATTCCTTTCTTTCGGCTGCCTAGTATCCTTTTTTGGGGGTAAAATTTTATTTATTTATTTTTAGAGAGAGGGGAAGGGAAAGAGAAAGGGAGGGAAACATGAACATGTGACTTCCTATGGCACGCCCCTTCCCGGGGACCTGGCCCGCAACCTAGGCATGTGCAGTGACTGGGAATCAAACTGGCAACACTTTGGTTCATGGGCTGGCGCTCAATCCACTGAGCCACACCAGCCAGGGCTGCCTAGTATTTTTCTTGACCCAAAGTTACCCAAGGCTTATTTACATGATGGTATTTAGTTCCCCATACACATCCCATTAGCCCTTTCTCTAGCTATCCACAGTATCATGCCTTACTCTGCTTTCAAATTCTTAAATTCTTACTTATGTATTTCAGAATTAAATATAACTAAGCATGGAATACAAAAGGTTGAATCTAACCCACGTCTCAACTTGCCCAACTTTATTTTTTTTCAAAGTTTTTTTTAAAAATATAAATCTTTTTTTAAAGACTTTATTCATTTATCTTTAGAGGGGAAGAGAAGAAGGGAGGGAGAGAAATATCAATGGATGGTTGCCTCTCATGTGTCCCCTGCTGGGAACTAGCCTACAACCCAGGCATGTGCTCTGACTGGGAATTGAACCTCGACCGTCTGGCTCGCATGCTGGTGCTCAATCCACTAAGCTACACCAGCCAGAGCTCATCTTTTACCATTACCTATACTGAAATAGCCTACATTTCCAGGTATAACTGAGGAAACTATAGTTCTGCAAATATGCCATTCTCTCATGTGTCTTGATACTAACTTGTGATATAATAAATATATATTTTGGTCTGTATCCACAGTTCTGAAAACCATATATTCATGCTTTTAAATGCTTTTTTATGTGCTTCCCTTCTGAACCTAAAGTCTCTAGAAAAGCAATACTCAGCAGAACTGATATGATGGAAATGTTCTTTATCTGTGCTGTTCAATATGGTAGTCACTACCTACATGGAGAAATCGCACATCTAAAATATGGCTATTGTGACTGAAAAAAGAAATTTACATTTTATTTAATTTAAATAGCTACCTTAATGTGTAGCTTTTAATCAAGTTCCCCCCCTCTCAACATGGTGTTCTTTTGAGTGGGGTGTAAGGCTGAAGAAGGACAGTCACTTTTACTTAACTTTCTCTATTCTTTTGATTAAGAAATGAAATCCAAAGTGGCTGAAGTTACCAGGTGGTCAATGGCAAGTCAAAATTTATACCCAGTTTGTCTGACTTTTAGTTCCCAGTTTTTTCTACTTTACGATGCTGCTCGAGTTAGATAAAAAATAGTGGCAGAACATATTTAAACTGCAGAGTAGTTTCCTAAGAAACTTATCATTCTCAGTTTATTTTTTTAATCTGAAGCATTATAATATATAAAACAAAAAATAAGGAGTTAACATGGATAGAGAAAAACAGGACAGTAGAAACATTAATTCTTGTTCTTTACACCTTAAAGTGAAATTATCTCAGGAGGAATAATATGAAGATAGACTTCTGGTCAAGATGGAGGCGCATGTAGACACACTTAAGCCTTCTCATGCAACCACAACTAACTTGTTTTTTAAAACAAAAAACACCCAGAACTGCCAGAAGATTAACAACCGCAGATTTTTAGAAGTGACACTCGTCCAGATGAATAGGAGGAAGAGATGCAGAGCCAGGGAGCCAGGGTGGAGAAGATGCAGGGTGGCACAGAGAGGTGGTAGCAGCAGAATGGGCAAACCCACATTCAAATGTGGTAAATAAAAATTGGGAGGGACACCTTGGGAATGAGTGATCCCAGGCCCATGAGAGACTGTACAGCCAGGGTCCAGTGCCACAAAGATAAAGCCTCACAACTTACAGATATATAAACTACTGGGGGCTGGAGTAGCAGAAGAAACTGCCAGTTTCTGTTTAAAGGGACTACACAGTCCTACAATGTACACAAACCCACCTATTCTAGAAACCAATCAGGACAGCAGCTAAAAATGGTGTCAGGTGCATATGGGTGAAGCCACTAGAAATGGGAAGAGTGCCAGGCAAGCTGTCAGAAGCCAGGCAGTGGTACTACACCCTCACCAACCCACCCTCCTACAATGCCACAAAGTGGTGAAGCTGGATGCCCAACCGTGATGATTACCTAAGGCTCTGCTGTTACAACTTCACAGGTGTGCTAAAAACAGAGCGTCAAAGCAGCTCTGCCTGATACACAGAAACAAATACAGGGAGACTGCAAAACTGGGGAGATAAAATACAGCCCAAATGAAAGAACAGAACAAAACCCCAGAAAAAGAACTAAACAAAATGAAGATAGTCAACTTATTAGATAGATTTCAAAATATTGCTGATAAAGATGCTTAGAAAACTCACTGAGTACAGCAGGAACATAAGGGAAGAAATGAAGACTACACTAAGTAAAATAAAGAAAAATTCACAGGGAACCAACAATGAAGGTAAGGAAGCTGGGTTGCTTCTCTTCAAAAGCAATGATTTTGAAGAGAAGAAATAAACACTGAACCAAAACAGAATGAAGAAACAAGAATTTAAAAAAAAACCCAAGTATAAGACGACTGTGTGACACCTCCAAAAGTGCCAACATCTGAATCATAGGTGTGCCAGAGGGAGAAGAGTATGAGCAAGAAGTTGAAAGCTTATTTGAAATAAGCCTCCCTAGTTTGGCGAAGAAAATGTCTTCCTAGACATACAAGTCCAGGAAGCACAGAAAGTACCAAACAAGTAGGACCCAAAGAGGACCACACTAAGATACATCATAAAAAAAAAAAAGCTAAAGTTTAGAGAATTCCGGCCAAGATGGAGGCATAGGTGGAAACACTGTACCTCCTTCTACAACCAAATTTAAGGACAACAAAGATTTAGAAACAAAACCACAACCAAAACAGACATTAAATTGAACTGCACTGAAATCTGACAATGAACCATTCATCCAGACCGGCAAGAGGGGTGGAGTTGGCAGCTAGTGGAGAGGGGTCAAGGAGGTGACTGGCGAACTGGGCAGGCGCAGGACTAAAACCCAATAAAGCTCGCAAGGTGGCTGGCTGACCATGGACACATACTTGCATGCAGAGAAACCAGGCAGGTTTAAAAAGGTTAGTGACACAGAGCACAAAACCCAGGGCCCCAGCGACGGGAAATCAAGCCTAAAAGCACCAAATGAAAAAACATTCGGGGGTTGAGGTGCTGGGAGAGGCTCCCAGCCTCACAGGCGAGTTCTTTAGAGAGATCCACAGAATCCTAGAATGAACACAAGCCCACCCACTCAGGAACCACCAGAAGGGCCCAATTTGCTTGTGGGAAGCAGCAGAGGGGACAGAAATCTGGGTGAGAGCAGAACAAACCCCACTGCTGCCTCTCTGACCCCGCCCCCAGTCACAACCCAGTGACTGGGCTGGCCCACCCAGGTGAACCTAAAGCTTTTGCCCCTCATATGTACCAAAACATTATGGCTCAAGCAGAAGAACAGCTCAAAGTCCCAGAGCCAACACTTTTAAGTGACCAAGAAATAGCTAACATATCAGATGCACAGTTCAAAGCACAGGTGATCAGGATGCTCACTGAACTGGTTGATCTTAGTCACAAATTAGATGAAAAAATGAAGGCCACACTAAGTGAAACGAAGCAGAATGCATAGGGAACCAATAGTGATGGAAACAAATCTGGGACTAAAATCAATGGAGTGGACCAGAAGGAACAACCAACCAAACAGAAAAGAAGGAAGAAACAAGAATTCAAAAAAAGGAGGAGAGGCTTACGAACCTCTAGGACATCGTTAAACATTCCAACACCCGAATTATAGGGGTACCAGAAGGGGAAGAGTAACAGCCACAAGTGGAACACTTATTTGAACAAATAATAAAGGAGAACTTCCTCAATCTGGCAAAGGAAATAGACTTCCAGGAAGTTCAGGAAGCTCAGAGAGTCCCAAAGAAGTTGGACCCAAGAAGGAACACACCAAGGCACATCATAATTACAATTAGCCAAGATTAAAGTGAAGGAGAGAATTCTAGAAGCAAGAGATAAGGAAACAGTCACCTACAAAGGAGTGCCCAAAAAGTCTGTTGGGCACTCTGAGAATCAGACTGTCAGCTGATTCTCAAAAGAGACCTTCAGGCAAGAAGGGACTGGAAAGAAGTATTCCAAGTCATGAAATCCAAAGACCTACATCCAAGATTGCTCTAGCCAGCAAAGCTTTCATTCAGAATGGAAGGGCAGATAAAGTGCTTCTCAGATAAGATCAAATTCAAGGAGTTCATCATCACCAAGCCCTTATTATATGAAATGTTAAAGGAACTTATCTAAGAAAAAGGTAAAAAATATGAACAGTGAAAGGTCAGCAAACTCACAGCTGTAGCATAGATGGTAGGCAGAAAATACACAGCGGGGAGGGCAAGAATAATATGGGAAATGTAGAAACTAAAGAACATGGACATGAACTAAAGGGGGAAAATGGAAGGAGGGGAGGAGGAGGGGAATGAAGGGGGGTAATGGGACAACTGTAATGGCATAATCAATAAAATGTATTTTAAAAAATAAAGTAAATAAATAAAATCTTTAAAAAATTATCTCAAAAAAAGGGGCTAAAGTTTAAAGATAAATAGAAAATCTTAAAAGCACCAAGAGGAAAGCACAGAGTTACCTACAAAGGAGTTCCCATCTCCTTTGTAGACAAGACTATCAGCTGTATCTCAAAAGAAACTGCAAGCAAGAAGGGACTGGCAAGAAGTATTCAAAGTGATGAAAAGGAAGGACCTACTACCTAGATTACTCTATCCAGCAAAGCTATTGTTGAGAATGGAAGGGCAGATTAAGAGTTTCCCAGACGAGGTGGAGCTAAAGGAGTAATTCATTATCACCAAGCCATTATTACATTAAATGTCAAAACTATGAACATTAAAATGATAACAAACCCACAATTATCAACAAATGAATCTAAAAAACAAAAACAAACTAAGCAAACAACTAGAACAGGAACAGGATCACAGACATGGAGATCATCTGGCGGGTTATCAGCTGTGAGGGGGAAGAGGGAGAATGGAGGAAAAGGTAGAGAGATTAAGACACCTAATCCGTAGGTACAAAATAGACAGAGGGAGGTTAAGAATAGTATAGGAAATGGAGAAGCCAAAGAACTTATATGTCTGACTTGTGGACATGAACTAAGGGGTTGGCTTACTGGAGGGAGGGATGGTACAGGGCAGAGGAGGATAAAGGGGAGAAAAAAAGGTACAGTTGTAATAGGATAATCAATAAAGTATATTAAAATAACATCTTAAGAAACTTAAAAAAACTGATGTTCAAAGCACTAAATAAAACATCACTGGAAAAGGTACCAAAATATTATAAAGTCTTGTATTAAAAATAACTTATGTATTTTAAATTAAAGAAAGCTACCCTGATTATTCTTACCTCTGAATTAATAACTTTAATCAGGAAGAAAATGTGATATACCGTCTTGGTTAACAAAGAAAGTTGACGACATCTTTCTAGGTACACATGTACAGATGGTTCTACTCTCTGCTGTAATTTACTCCAAAAGAGAGTGAGTTCCCTATAAACAAACAAACAAGCAAACAAACAAATAAATGTTGGAGCAGTAATGTAATAAACATGGACTATGTCAGTGCAGTTATTACTTTGGAAATTAAAACTGGTTTTACATTTCAAATCTACACGTGTAATTAAGTTTAAAAGCAAAAAAAAAAAAAAAATCCTCAATTTTCTAGAGACTAAATGAAATCAGTATACATTGGCTTGGCCAAAAACTTCGTTGTGTTTTTAAGTAAAAATAAAAGACATTTTTAATTTTCACCAATAACTTTATTCAATGATGTATTCACTATTTTGTACCACTACCTTCTGCCATCTTTTAGGAAAATTTAGTAATTCCATCTTCCCAAAACTTTGTAACTTTTGAGCAAAGAACTGTTCCATGTGCCTTTTGCAGTCTTCCAGGAAACTGAAATTTTTCCCATTAAAATAATTTTGTAAAGACCAAAAATAAATGAAAATCCCAACATGTAATGTTTGGTCAATATGGCACAATTAGGAATCAGAACGTCCCCAGCCAGCTCTAACAGTTTTTGCCTTGTCATCAAAGAAACATGTGGTCTTGTTTTGTCCTGATGGAAGATTATGCATTTGACTAATTCCACGTGCTTTTCATTGAGTGCTGCTTTGAGTTGGTCTAACTGTAGCAGTGCTTGTTGGAATTAATTGTTTGGTGCTCTGGGCAGAGCTCATTATAGAGGACTCCCTTCCAATCCCACCATATATACAACATCACCCTTCTTGGATGAAAAAAACTGGCCTTTGATGTGGTTGGTGATGGGTCACTTAACTTTGCTCCATGATCTCCTGTTCCATATTACTGTGATGTATCCACTTTTTATCACCTGTCATAATTTGTTTTAAAAATGGAACATTTTCATTTCATTAAAGGAGGGAATCACATGAGAGAATACAGTCAAGGTTTTTTTTTTGCTTAATTTATGTGGAACCCAAATATCAAAGTGATTAACGTAACCAAGCTGGTACAAATGATTTTCAACCCTTCATTTACATATTTTGAGTATGTTGGTTATCTCTTGTGTGGCATAATGTTAATTGTTATTAGTTAATGTCTTGATATCAACTTCAACTGGTCTTTCCGATGGTGGAGCACTGTCCAGGGAGAAATCTCTAGCACGAATCGTTGCCAATTACTTTTGACTTGCTTGATCAGTCACAGCACCTTCTTTATATACTGCACAAATCTTTTTTTAAATATTTCAATTTGATTTTACTTTTCTTGAAATCATAAACCATAGTATGCCAAAAATGTTGCTTATTTTTCCATCTTCCAGTATTACTGAATAAAATGGCTATACAAAAATTCACCAATTTTGATAATTTTTAAAAAATGCCTGCTGATATGACAGCTGTTACAACACAATCTAACGAAATTGTTTTGGATGAAGTTAAAGACAAGTAAGTGCCACAACACACCTTTTGGCCAACCCAATACTTGTCCTAAATAAATGCAGTTATTTATTCTCCCTTTACAATCTTTCTATCTGCCTTTTATATTAATTCTGTCTATACTGCATATACAATTTTTCCCAGGCAACGAAGCTTAACTGCTCAAAAAACCTTTATAATTATGCACTTTACTATTCTTTGATTACATAACCATTTATGCAGCTTGCCTATTCTATACTCATTTGTATGTCATGTATCACTTGATCAACATCCTTAAATGTGAGACTATTTTAAACTAAATTTCTTTTTTTGTCTCCACATACCAAAACAACAATGAAATTTAATAATGTTGACTGACCAGATGAATGGTCAGTTTTAGTGAAAACTAACTTAAAAAGCTGATCTTAAAGTTTCTGAGTTAACTGCCACCAACATCTCTATTAGTTGTAGCCCAGGCTTTTGCCCACTTGGAAATGTACCACATAAAGAAATGTGCATTGAAGAAGTTAGTAAAGTTGAATGATCTCTCACAGAAAGAAAATGAATTTATATCTCCATACATAAATGACTAACAGCTAGTTACATAGAGTTAAAAATGTATAATATGCAGAGGAAAAAAATACATTCAATCACAGGTAGCATACATGTCTGAAAAAGTTTTTATTGTGGCATGAGACAATATAAACTTTTCTTTCATCCTCCAACACTGAAACATTTCCTGATCAATGATATTACTGGTATATTAAGGAGCTGTGTGGTCCTTAATACAAAAAGTCTTTAAAGTTATTATATGAACTACCTGATAATCAGTTTAAATAGCATAATACCTGAAAATAGGCTTTTTGTCTTGAGACTTAAAAAGATTTTAAAAAATATGTTTTTAAGCTATCTGAATTCTTACAACCTATTTTGTATTCTTATTTAACAAACTCCTTATTACAAAAGAAATACAACTCACCAAGCACAGTACATTTCTCCTTGTTGGAGCTGACGTGACAAAAATGCAGTACATAAAACAAGAGCACTTTTTTCATCACCCTCAGATTCTAAGTTACAGATCATTTCTAGTGCATCTTTGCAATCAACTTCTGAAATCTACAGAAAAAGGATATAGAAATGTGCCTTAAAATGGTTATATATTAAGATATATAGTAACATACTTGAACATTTTCATTAGATATTTACAGATCATTTTCACCAGTAGAAAGAACCTCAGTAACTCAAGCACTATCAATTTATAATGTCATCAGTAGGCTGCAGTTTAAAGAAATAACCTTTCTTCAAGCCAGAGAACTGACTATTTTCAAGAACTTCACAGGCATTTGTTTATATGTAAATAACTAATGCTAACTGTAGCCACCCTCCACCCATTAAATCACATCTATGATAATAAAAAGAAAAGCTGCAGTACCTCTATTTTTCCCCTTTACCCATTAGTTTTAAAAAGCATTAGAATCAGAAAGGCATGAAGGTCTATTGGATACATACTAATAAACAAATTGTCTATTCATCTGAGGGGAGAAAGATAATATGAAACATTTTACTTAAGTATAACACTTTTAAATTAAGATTACCTCAGTTTTCTATAAATCTCCAATATTTTTCTTTTTGTAAAAAATCATTTCATCTCAAAGCTTGTCAACAGTCATGCATGCAAAGATATAAGCTAGATGATGACAACTTGTTTCATTTAATTATGCACTTGAATCTACTGCTTCTTAAATAATTAAAATTACTACCTCATTACACTGATGTACTACACAAAACAAACAAAATTTACCTGTGATTTCCACAAGCATTTTCTCTAAGACAAGACTAACAAATACGACACAATCATAAATCACTGGCGTTCCACAGAATAGAAAAATTAATCCCAACATGGTGCAACTGATAAACAAAATCGAAAACCAATTTGGACCACTAACACCCATGTACCACAGAGGTAACCATGCTCTTCCTTATTGATCTTCTATCTCTCCCTATAATTTTCGAGTACGTGTGTGTTTAAAATGTAATGTGTATATGATTTAACAAGTGTTTGACTAGAGATGCAGATAGTCTTGTGATTGATCTTTGATAATGAAGATCAGGTTGCCTGCGGATATATTTAGAAGTTCCATTTCATGTATTTTATTGGGCTAGAAAACACTAATACAAGAAAACACCCAACTCTGAGTCTGTATTTAACAACTGTTTCTTTTCTTTTTTTTTAACAACTGTTTCTTGAAGTATGAAGTTAATGGCACAGTTAGGACTGAACTAAGCCTTAGAATTTGTTGGTGCAGTGCTCTTTCCACTTCTCTGCCTGCCTTTCTTACAAATCTCACAAAGTTGCCCCATTTAAACAAATAAAAGGGCTGAACATTATATATAATAAATATTTTCAAATACAATATTAAATGCACTGTCAGACATTATACATATTACACTTAATCACAACTTTTTCACTAGCTTGGTGTTATCATAAACATTTTATATATAATAAAATGTGAGGCTCAAAAAAATTCTGTAATCTGTCCAAGTTACACTCGTTAGTTAAGTGGTAGAAATACACATAAGTTATGTCTGACATCCAAGACCTACTCTCCATTTTATCATAGTATCTTTTATTAAAAACTGTATTATCTTAAAACCATTAACCTTGGTGAACCCATGAAGACAAACATTAGGAAGTCAACCCATGAGCTGGGTTTTTTTTTTTGCTTCTTCATAAGATGATGATGATGATAGCAGGATAATAACAATAGCAGGTACTCTTCATTTACTAGTGTCAGGTTCTTCAGAAACAGCATTGCTAATAAGCACAATAGCTTGCCTGGTAGATACTACTACTTCTTTCTACACACCAGGTACAGAGAGGTAGTTACTTGTTCAAAGCCACATATTTAACTAGTGGCAGAGTCAAGATTTCAACCCAGATATAGCTCAAAGTCTGTGCACCTGCCAGAATTCAACAGGCACAAGCATACCGAGGCCCTTTATTGCTATACATTGATTTTTTACCTGTTCAGGTTTAATAAAAACTCTTATATCTTGAAAGTCTGATTTATTTAGATTCTTATTACTTCTTTTGGTTCTTCTAAAACCTATGCCATTCTTGCTAAATGCTCAAATGATGCAAAATATGTACATTAGGTATAAGAAAAAAAACCTATTTTCCCAATATTACCTGTACTAGATTACATTTAATTTAAAATATATTTGTATATATGTAAGATAGCCTCTGTTTAATTATTCACATATATACAATATACCAGTTGAAATATTTGCTCTATTAATACAGAAAACCTCACTTTTTATAGGTATACTAAGAAAATTTTTATTGTATACTTCATAGCCTTTATTAAATCCCTGGTTTACCACTAGATGGCCCTCTTGAAAAAATATGACACTAAAAAGAATGGCAGAGAAACTGAAACCATATTTAAACTAATGAATGGTTGAATCAAAATTGTGAAAGTGAAATTCAGGTCAAATATAGACATCAATGACCAAGAACTACTTTTAAAATCCAAGGCAGCATGAGTTAGGAATTACCTATATAGGGACTATATATATTACAGATAACTATTCTCTCTTGCTTTGAAAAGTAAGCAAAGATTTAAATACCAGAAAATTTAGAACTCTGAATAAAATACTTAAAACCAATTAGACTGATTTGTGTGATCTGTTTGTTAAAGACATACTACTCTAAATCCCTATGTATAGCAAAATAATCATTATCTTTGTCATACACAACAGGGTGGCTTATTTCTAATGTTGGTCCAAGCCTACCATCTTCCTCTTTACTTTCTATCAAGAAAAATGACACAATCAGCATTATAATTACAACTTCTAACTTCATATGGGCATTCAGCTTTTTGTTGGAACCTACCCTCCTTCTGGACTCTTGATTACAATCTCTGTCTACTCAGTAATCATGCATACTCTGTTAATTGTCCTCTCCTCTGTCTTGCATCTCAACATTTCCATTTATATATCCTTAAGTCTGTCCCACAGTCCCTTTGTTCTTTCTACTGTTCTGAGGTTGAAGAATATTTATATTAGAAACACAAGACACTTGTATAACAATATGTTCTCACACAACACTGTATAATGTGTTATAGTTTTCTTTATATAAATACATGTTCCCTGTTTTTTTAACAACAACATGTAATTCTCCCACAACTATCTTCAACTTCATTTTGGAATTATGAATCATTCAAAATGAAAAATTCCCATATGGACCATGATTCTACTCTCAGAATTCTGTAATATGAAACATAAAAATACATGAATACCATGCTTTACATCAAACTAGGAAAAAAAGCCAATCATGTCTCATAAAAAATTTACATTAAATATGCAAATATAAAATTTATCTTTGCATATAATTAGAGAGGTAGACATATCCACCTAGCTTTCATGAAACACATTTAATGTATGTGTATGTATGTATGTTTATATACACATATATTTAAGTATACAAAGTACTCCAAGGGCTAAGTCATATGAACACTATGAAGTTATATTAGCCAGTTAAAAAGATCAGCAAGTATCCTGAAGTCAGGTAAAACTAAGTTATAGCCTAAATGCTGACAAATATAAATACCCTATTAAATGGTTAAGTCATCACCTAAATGGTTAAGTCATCACCACCTTTCCCATAATTTAGCCAAAGCAATAAAAAGATCCAAATTAATCAAAATAAAAGCTGGATAAAATAATTTTATACCTACTTCTGAAAGTTGTTTAGAATCACTATCCAAGAGCACACCAAAAGGTTTAAGATCAACAACAATGGTTCCTCACTACCTAAGAAAAAGGGAAGTTTCTTCACTTTTAGAAATAATTACTAACAAAAGAAAACATACTCACCTCTTCGATTAACTTTTCATTTGGTGATGATGTACAAAGACAGACAAGGTAAGTTTGCTTAAAACTACCTTTTGTACCAATCTCTGGATGGTCAGAACACAGCTTTGCTAGAGCAGTTGCTTGACTTAACTGATTTGTTTTGATTAGATGTTTAATTCTCATATCCAACAAGATGGGGCCCTCAAAAGCTAAAAATTCATTCACTTTAAAAAACAAGACATAATAGATTATTAACATTTGGTGATAATTCATTTGCAACAATACACTTATACAAGAAATATTTTAAAAGCACAGGAACTAATAAGCCCCTCCCCCATTTTTGCAGTTATCTATTACTGTTAGGCTATCACAAAATAACCTAATAAACAAGAGGAGATACTATAGCTACCCTTAAATTTTGCATTAAATACTCTTGCTCTTGAAAGTACCATCTAGAATGAAGTAAATTACTTCTTGATAATAAATAATTTCACATTAAATTCTAACAGTCAATGTTTTTAAAATCATACAAATTATCCCCCACCTCCAGCATTTATTCTTGAATACCAGGGATTAGCATCCCTAGAAATTTGCAGTGATAGGGCCTATACAAGGATGCAGTGACTACATCCTTTATAGACAATTACAAAAGAATGTTTGGATACTCTAGAAAATGAGACTAAACAAATTCTTTTTCAATACTAATGATTAAAGTCTATTTTGACTTAATGTTTTAAAACAAATTAAATACATAAAAAATAAATAAGAGCGGGGGGAGTCTGTTGAACGTTCTGTGGATTTGCGCTGTTATTTTTAAATAAATCAATAAACCTCAACATTTGCTTGAGTACCACTTAGGCATAATCAATTTCTATTCAGTTCAAATCTTTTAATTTCCTAGTGCTTGTCTGACCCACAAAAAATAGGAATTAAATTTTTTTCTTTGTGAAAAATTTAAATTTTAACAAGCATATATTTAAACTTTTCCCTAAAGCTTTCTTTACCAGGATGAAAATCAAGTGAGAAATCTACTTCATGATAGCTAGCCTAAAACCTTTGGAAGGCTTTTAATAACAAAACTTTAAATAAAAACACTTCCAATAAAAAACAATTTCAATACTTATGAACAGTCTGGAAGATGTGTCTAGTGTGTTTAATTTGCATGCTAGAAAATGAAGAATGAGAGATGTTTTTCCCTCCTTTAAATATTCTTTTGCTACCCAATAGTGTCTATAAAGACTGGTGGTCTGTAAAGACCACCAGTCTTTATAGATCAATCCTTCTCAGTATTAAAACAATGGGCATATAAACAATTTAACACAGGATCCCAATTCCATACTTTCCTTAAAATCTAGACCTTTGTACTTACTACTCTCTATTCTTACATTAAACCAAAAGTATAAAGACTGATAACATATAGTTTATAAATGCATAACTTTCTGGTGCCTCTGACTAAATGTCTTCTTGTACATATATATATATATATATATATATATATATATATATATATATATATATGGCATTACTTTTCTTTCTTTAATACCATTACATGATTCTGTTAGGTCAATTATACTGCAAATATTTTTCACAGTTCAGTTCACTGTCAAAGCAAAATGGGCGAAGGTTTTAAATAAAAACTTTAAGATAAGTAAAGTTATTCTGTCTATAACTAAATCAAAGACTTGAAAATACAATTTCAGATTCTTAATACAATAACTTCCTCAAAAGGAAACTCTTGGAGTGATGAACACACAATACGGTGTAGAGATGATGTGCTGGAGAATTGTGCACTTGAACTCTGCATAATTTTGTTAACCAGTGCCACCCCAAAAAATTCAATACGAAGGAAAAAAAGGAAACTAATAATACAAAATTGGGAATTATTTCAAATACTCCTACAAAAGCTCAAAAACAAACTCTGAAGAGCATGTGAGGAAATTATTTACAAGTAGCAAGCATTTAACAAAACTGATGACAATCTTAATAGAATATCTCAGTCCCTAAAATCTCAAATAACATTTAAATTAGAATGACAAATTGTACAAAACAAATGCTGTGTTAACTTGATGTATAGAAGAATATGTTAATATTATAAATTTCAAAAGCATAGTTGCACATATGTGATTTTAAACATGGGAAACCATGGCCATACTTAGGGCAAAACTGACTCCGAAGAAATATAAAATATTAGAGCAGAAGGAATTTTATAGATCATTTTGTCCTGCTGCATTGCATCATTTGGCAGATGAGTAAACTGAGGCTCACAGAAGGCAAGTGACTTCCTAGGTTCATCAAGCCAGTTAGCGACAGAACCAGGACTACAATAATGGAATCTTCTAATTCAGTGGTGAGACAAGAAAAAGAAAACTCTTATTTGACTACTATGTCTACTAAATAGAATGACATCTTACAGCAACAAAGAGCTGTAAAGCAGCATTAGCTTTTAAAGGATATAAATTAGGTATTCTGAAGCTCATGATTCAAATGGATCAAAATAGCTTATATTCCAATACTCAACTGAGAACCAACTGAAAACTTACTCGCCTCCCTCCCCATCCCTTGTCCATTTCTTTTACTGCTTTTTTTTTACCCTATTCTTCCATATATTTTTCTACTTCTTTCCAGAGCGTTTCCTATCCAGAACGTTTTTTTTCTTATAGAATTATATCACATCAAAGAACACCTCTTTTAGAGCTTGCCACACTTACAAAAGAAGTTCTATGATTTTTATTCTTCAGTATCTAGTCACATCAAATTTTAACCTGCTCTACTTTTCCCAATCCCATCCCGGAAAAATTAAAAACCTTATATTTTTATTTGTGTGTAGCCTTTAAATCTATATTCTATATATTTATGGAAATGAACAGGAAAGCAGAATTCACTACATTTGAGCCTTTCAAGAGTTGATGACATGAAATAATACAAATGATACAGCCAGTTCAATTAAGAAATTGCCTTCTTCCCATAAAATGATACTTACATAACAGTAAAAAAGAAAATAACAGTTCCTACATTAATGTAATTGAATGTATTACAATGAGTTGAATTTTTATCAGAAATCATTACATATTATTCATGTACTATGTATCAAGCTTAGATTAGGTCCTGGATTGTCGCCGAGTGGAGTCCATTTATTTCTATTATTTCCATGCCTAGATTCATACATAATTTCCTTTGCAGCATCTCTTACTAGCTGTTTAACAAGCACCTCAAACTCTGCATACCAAAATCTCTATATCACACTGATGTTTTTCTTAGTCTTTGTTGTGCTCAAGCCAGAAACGAATTGGCTTTAAAAATACTCTTCTGCCCCCTCCTCACTCATATATCCAGTCCACCATCTAACTCTTAAGGACCCAATCTCATTCATTTTTCTCCATCTCTACTCCCATTCACCCCCTCCTCCCAACCCAGATCATTAATCAGACCACTTTGTAACACTCTACTAGTGTTCTGCACACTCTATACCCTCTCCATCATCTCTCCACTGGGACCCAGGGTGTTTTACAACCAAATTGGAAAGGAAGAAGTAAAACCATCTGATTGCAGGTGACATGATATTCTATGTAGACAACTCTAAAGATTGCACACACACACAAAACAAAAAAATTGAGAATAAACAAATTTAGCAAAGCTGCAAAACACAAAAAGCAAAACAAAAATAAGTTCCTTTTTTATATACTATCAATGAAAAATGAGAAAATAAAATTAAGAAAAAATTCCATTTACAATAGCCACAGAAAGAATAAAATACTTAAGAATAAACCTAACCAAGAAGATGAAAGACTTATATACCCCATTCTATAAAATAATGCCACAAGAAATTAAAGAAGACACAATACAGGGAAAGATCCCAAGTTCATGGATTACAAAATGATGTTAAGATTACAAGTACCAAAAGCAATCTACAGAATCAAGATAATTCCTACCAAAATTACAATGGCATTTTTTTCAGAAATAGAAAAGTTTTTCCTATAATTATAATTTCAAGAGACCTCAAACCAAAACAATTTTGAAAAAGAACAAAATTAGAGGTCTCACACTTGAAGTTACAATAACCAAAATAGTGTGGTACTGGCATAAAGATAAGACATGTAGGCAATGCAATAAAATAGAAAGCTCATAAATAAACCCTCACATATATGGTCAAACGATGTTGAACAAGGGTGTCAAGACCACTCAATGAAACAAGGACAGTCTTTTCAACAAATAGTGCTGGAAGACTGGATATCCACATGCAAAAGAATAAAGCTGCACTCTTACGTTAATAAAAAAATAATTCAAAAATTTCTAAAAAGCCTAAATATAAGACCCAAAAAGGATAAAGCTCCTAGAAGAAAACGAAATGGAAAAGCTTCATGACAGTGGACTTGGCAATGATTTATTCGCTGTCATGTCAAAGTACAGGCAACAGGAAACAAAAACAAATGGGACTACATTATACTTAACGTTTGTGCATCTAAGTACAGAATCAACAGTAAAAAGGCAATGTGCAGAACTGGAGAAAATATTTACAAATTATGTATCTGATAAGGGGTTAATATCTATAATACACAGGAACTCCTACAACTCAACAACAAAAAGTCAAATACCATTAAAAAGTGAGCAGCCCTGGCTGGTGTGGCTCAGCAGATTGAATGCTGGCCTGTGAACCAGAGGGTGGCAGGTTCAGTTCCTAGTCAGGGCACATGCCTGAGTTGTGGGCCAGGTTCCCAGTTGGGAGCACAAGAAAGGCAATCACACACTAATGTTTCTCTCCCTCTCTTCCTCCCTTCCTTCCCTTCTCTCTCAAAAATAAATAAATGAAATCTTTAAAAAAGAAATGAGCGAAGGACTTGAATAGATATTTCTCCAAAGATGATATACAACTGACCAATAAATGTAACAGATTCAATATCACTAACCATCAGAGAAATGGAAATCAAAACCACAATGAGGTACCTACCACTCCTCAGCTATCAAAACGGCTACTATCAAAAAACAAAAGTGTTTGTGAGGATGTGGAGAAACTGGAACCTTTGGGCATTACTGATGGGACTGTAAAATGGCACAACATCTACGGAAAGAGACTGGATGTTCCTCAAAAAAATTAAAAACAGAACTACCAAATGGTTCAGCTATTCCACTTCTGGGTATGTATCCAAAATAACAGGGTCTTGAAGAGAGATTTGTATGCCTATGTTCACAGCAGTACTACTCGCAATGGCTGAGAGGTGGAAGCAAC